CAGCCATCTGAATCAAATATTCATACATATACTTAACTGTACATATACACGTACATACATACATGCATACATACATACATACATACATACGTACATACATACATACATACATACATACATACATACATACATTTCCCGGCCTCCATCCCGCTATCCCCCTCCATCCATCCATGCATCTATCCACCCATCCGCCAACTCGCATACATACATGCCCACTGCCCACAGACAGACATGCATGCAAAACATGCAAGCATACATGCATCCATCCACCCACTCATCCATCTACACATTCATACATGCATACCGGCATACATACATGCATACATACATGCACTGTGTTTATCTGTAACTATATCTGCACGTACATGCATGTACCTCTCGTACAAGTAATACTGCAGAACTCCAGCTCCAGCTATTGCATGTCATTGCTGCTGGCTCGTTGACCTTGAACTGAACAGGGATGTCTGTGTGTGTGTGTGTGTGCAGGCATGTTTGCAGGTTTCGAAAGCATCTTCACCGTGACCTTGAGAGAATCAACGGCAGCATGACGGCAACAAAAAAAGGCGGTCGTGAAACACGCTGAGAGCATCTGCAAATGAAAATAGGGGCTGTGAGGCAGGAGCATACAAATTGATTGCTCGCAACCTGAACCCAAAAAAAACTTTCAGTCTCTCTCCTGCCTTCATCCGACTCGAAACTAGATTTCATCTCACAACAAACTGCGGGCTACCACCATCCTTCAACTCCAAACCTTCGACTGAAAGACTTCTTGCAGCCAAGGCTGCGCTGCATGGGCAAAGGCAGCACTGGGGGCTTGGGCTCCGAATGCACAAAGTGCGAAGCCGAGCTTCCAGCCTGCCTGAACCGGGTGAAACCATGTTCGGAGCATGAGATTCTATTTGTAGATCAACGAAGATACGACTGCTGCCGGCTGCGCATCTAGGTTCATGCCTTTCTTGTTCTTGGCCCTCGATTGCACCTTCACAGGTCCCGGGATGTGCTTCACCAACTGCGCAGCGCCCAGCATCGCGAGCACTACAGAGGCGACGCCGACCATCCTCAGGAGAGAGGAAAAAGTTGCAAGGAGGTCGGGGAATCTGGCAGCAATCGATATGGTGCGAGATGAAGGGACTGATGAGTCGTTTCGTTTGTCACCAGTGTCAGGATGTTGTGGCAACATGGCTTTGTGCCTTGCTGTGGGATTTTGTTTTGGAAGCAAGAGTGGTATGATCCTGTGCGCCTGCCAATGTCTATCAATCCAGCCCACAAGCCAGTGAATGGGTCCAGGCAACACGGAGTACGTGCCAAGGACATTCTCCCAGGCCTCCTTGCGGTAGGAATAGCACAGTAGTATAGTAGAGCGAGAGAGAGAGTAGAGAGATAGAGAGCGAGAGAGAGGGAGTTGGCTTCCGAGGCGGGGCTTCTGAGGCGTCCGTCAAAAACTAAGATGCAAATTCCTTCTACGGCCTTTGGTCCAAACCCAACAAAGGAAGCAGCTGCTGTATCCGGCACCTGGGATCGCGCGGCTGCATTAGCTTCACTATTCCACCTCTGCGTGATCTCGCGGCATCCGCACAAGAAAACAGAATGGAAGGATTGAATAGTTGCACACAGTGACGGCATACACTTTCAAGGACTTGCCTTGGATATCACTGGCCCCCAGTCCCGTGCTCCTCACCGTAGAGCTCCTTGTACTCCCCTGGCGCAGGCACTCTCCAAGTTCAACGGCAAGCCACACCATCCCTGCACACATCTGCACACTGTCCGGCTTGAGTTGCCACATTCTGTCTTCCGGTCCAAGGCCAAGCGCCTCCTTTGAGGTCTGAGATCGCCATGAGAGCCGTGATCGAAGTCACCTGATGTCACAAGAACCACTGCTCACTTTTGCTGTAGTTCGGAAGCAAGTATGACTCGACCATCACGATTTCTTTGCAAAGTTAGCGCAAGGCTCGGAATCATGGGGGCACTCTCGGGCCTATACGGCCGCCCGACTGAAGTAGGAACTATTTTCGCCGCGGCGCGCCGATGCTGAGACATGGGTTTCCAGTCCTCAGGCGAGGAGGGGTGCGAACGCCGAGGCCGAAGCTCGCCTCAACTCCTCTCGCCCGAGCTCCCTGGGATCTTTACGGCCCGCATCTCGACTGCGATCAATTTTCTCGCAACCCGAGCTGCAGGAAGGCAAAGAACACCAAGGGCGGCCCGGAAGCTGCGATGCCTCCGGGAAACAAAATATCTCCGATGCCTTCTCTTTGTAGGACTCAGGCAGCGATTCCGCCCAAAAGGCAAGCAAAAACTTTTCGCATGCTCTATGCTATAACCAGCACGAAAACCATCAGCATCTTTTCAGGACGTGGCTCTGGATTGCTTCTGTTCGAATGTTCTGTTTTTGACACACACACACACACTCACACATTCTCAATTCTCTGTTGTCCCTCACCTGTCCGACTCACGGAAGGTCACTCCAGCATGATGATATTTGGATTTGTTTCATTGTGGTGTGTATCTGGCTTGTCGTACATTCATCTAGCTGTCGGGCGATTGACTTCAACACAACTGCAGTGCTGCGATGTTGCGATGCACGCCTACAAGACCATCGTGTTACACACAGCATTACAGCGATATAGGATACATGTATGTGACCGCACCTTTCCCACGCAGTACAGTACAATGTTCTTCCAATGATTCAATGCACCTCGATAGCCTGAAAGTCCTGCAAGCTCTGCATAGGCGATATACCTCGGCATCCAAAGGCGAGCACCACTAGCCGTCCATAGGCATGCATGAAGGTGTAGAAATGACTGGTAGCCATGCATTTCGAAATTGTTCTGAAGACCCTGAGCTCATGGTACCTTTTCGTACGATTAAACCAGGGAGCCATGCAGGGCTGCAACATGCTCAGCTGGAAGAAAGGTAAGTACCGGAAGCTAGGCCCGATACTGCGGGAGACTGGTGACAGCGATGGTGGTACCTGCTGACATAGTGCAAGGCTTTCCACACGAGCGGAAGCTTGCACTTAAAATCTGGATGCTGCATTCTATGTGCAGCGAGATGCAGCTGGACCATAAACATCGAACATTTCGAGTCTTGCTTCTTGACCAACGCATGCTTGGGCTGTGTTGGCTCATGCACTGTCTGCGGAAACAGCTATTGCTGCTGGGTTCTGCTCCTCGGTACATTACATCACGGTTGCTTGCACCTGCGATCACATCGCCGATGGACCAGTGCCGCCACTCGTGGATGGATCGCGGCATTGCAGGGACAGGGTTCAAACACCTCGCCCTGTTGGAGTTGATGCGGGGATTTGGACATTTCACTGTCACGGTTTGCGGCAGGACCATACATTCCGGGGAGAACAGGCAGAAGTCAGTCGAGGTTTGGCTTGTGAGCACTGGGTTTCTTTGACGTGACATCGTCCGACAGCTAGTGCCCCACATGAGTTCGAAGGCAGCACGCTCTTGCTTGCAACTTCAGGTGACACAGAAGTCTAAAAACGACTGAGTCATGCTTCAAATTGGCTCATTGTTACTTGGTATTGTACCGTACTCGCCTACGTTTTCAGGCGAAGGGGTCTGTGGAACGGGAACTTATTCAGTCCTTCTGCTGGCTTCCTTCTATTGAGATAACATGGCTTGATAAGGCTGCCATCGCTGAACCGATATCGTGGTTCAGTCGTCACAATGGGCCGGTGTCTCCTCGAACTCTGCCTTCAGCCGCGCACCTTGCAGCAAGAAACTGAGAGCAGCCGGCCGTGACATTCTGCAACCTGCCGTACAACCCGTGTCACCCCAGGCCCCGACTCTCGGCATCCAGTTGATCCTTTCAGCGAAAGAGCTTCAAGGAAACGGAACGAGAGGTTCCACTGACTGAGACTACCTTTGGTGGCGACGACAGCACTGGGGTGTACCAACGGCGGTAGCAGATGATGCATGGTGGGCGGAGGCGGTTTAGGTGGGGAGGCAGCGAGGGCACTGGTGGCAGTGCTACCGATCATGTTGCTTCTTATTGTCACCATCGCTGGAATCTTCGCGTCTATCGCAGCAGGATCCAGCCTGGCTGCCGGGCGGCCCGGTCTACCGCTTCAACCTCTATCCGAAACGCTGAATGCTGGGAGCCCTGGTCTCCTGAAGCTTGCTCTGCGCTGAAGCTCGAAGACGCGACTCCAACATGTCCTGTCGGTGCTGGGACGGCACCTCTGAGGAAATCTTACTTGTCGGATCACCATCATCACGCGGGCTGCTGCTATTCTGCTATGTTCTGCTTCTTGCTGCTATGTTGGATGCATATTGGACATTCGTGCTTACAGGTGTTAAAAAAAGACATACAATGCAATACAAAATACAAGATACCAACTTCCGAATTCAAACGTCACAACACAAAATACAAAATACACAAAACATAAAATGCAAACTACAAAACATGAAACAAACTACAAAGTACAACACCAAATACTAAGAAACACAAAATAATTCAGTACGATACAAGACCATACAATGCAAGTCGAAACAAGACGACACTGCACAATACAACAAATACGAAACAATGAAAGTCCACACCATACCATACCAAACGTATACCATATCATACCATGCGAACATAATACATACATGCATACATACATACATGCAAACATACATACACACATACACTCATACACGCATGCATGCAGACACAGGTACAAAGAGCGAGAGAAGCGAATCAATGGGGGACAGAGAGAGAGAGGGAGAGAGAGAGAGAGGAAGTGTGCGTGCGATAGAACAGAAGCAGTTCTGTAGCATTCGTTCAGGTGTAGAACCCGCCGCATTCATTGATGTCAGCTGGCTGGGCGTTCTATTCAGATGCGGCTTTCGGAGTTTCTGTCGCGTACGAAGACGGACGTCTGCACCTGCGTGCTGGTGATTGCAGCAGATGAATACGTAGACAATCCGGTGCGGATGCAATGACTCCGTTCAAGCCAATCGTTTGACGGGAAAGGAACATTTCCTGTGCTGCCACCGTGGCTTGGAGGAGTATCCTGTTCAGGACCGGATGCACACATACCAGGTAGCAAGCGGTGCAATTTTGGCAGCTTGGATTCTGTGGGACGCGGAGTGAGGCGACCAAATGCGACTTTGAGGGAGGTTTGCTTTGGTGTTCAGGCCACTGAATTCTGCTCCGTACTTGCGGAGCATGCTAGACTGTTTAACCTAAACGTTACACCCATAAAACGGGATAAGGCTCAATCACAGACAAAGACTGACAAAGACTACCCACTGTGATGGCCACTGGCCGCGTTTTGATGTCTCCTTGCTGCACCCTAACTACGCTAATGACTCTTGCTCTCCCATGGCTACTGCCAACTGTGCAAACATGGCGCCTGCTTCCAGCTGCTCCATAACATCACCTTCGCCTGCGGCGCAGCCACATCATGCCGCAGGGGCCAGTGCATCAAGACTCTTGTAGACTACATTTCGGCGGCCCTATAGGGTCTTGAAGTGCCGACTGGAGCATTTGTCGTGCGCGCAACCTCCTCCTGAGAGCTGAGTAACCAAACAAAGGCATGAGATGTAAGTTTTGCATCAAATGACATTGTCGTGAGTTCGAAATCGAGTAAGACATGAGTACAAAGCAGATCAAACCTGATGCGAGCGTCAGAGAATCCGGGCTTCATGCCTTCGACGAACTTAGTTTTGCATGGGGGGGCTTATGAAATTTGTCAGCAGCGTCGTCATTATCGTTACCAGCATGATGTGCATCACTAGAAAGCACGCCATCAACACGGGAAGAAACAAGAGCAAGCACGGTGCCAGCACCACCACCAAGAGCAGCAGCCTGAGGAGAAGGAGCAGGAAGATGGTGACGACAGAGAAATACGACGATGACGAGGAAGAGGAGAACGAGGAGCACAAGACGGAGGATGGTGAGGGTGATGATAATGATGATGGTGATGAAGATGTTGATGATGACGACGAAGATGATGACGATGACGATCACGATGACGATGATGATGATGGTGATGATGATGATGATGATGACGACGACGATGATGATGATGAACATGATGACGATGATGATGGTGATCGTGATGATGGTGATGGTGATGATAGTGATGATGATGATGATGATGATGGTGATGATGCCGAAGATGATGACGATGACGATCACGATGACGATGATGATGATGGTGATGATGATCTTCTTCTCTCGCCGTGAAAGAGTT